CCGCCTGTTTTAAAGGTGCAAATGAGGACCACTATTCAATACGCCTAGGATTCCATGTGTAGGCTCTCTACTTTAACTCTATGACGCCGTTTACTCGATCATTGTAGATTTCAGAACAATTTACCAAGTGTGTATATTGAGCCAATCATCTTTACCACGATATCGAACTGTACCTGACACAATTCCCGTCTCAATTATATACCACGTATCATATTCCAGATCCTTTCTACTTTCATTCTCGCCATCTTCCACTGTCACTTTCATGATCTTTCGCTACAACCCTTCCTTTGTATACAGAAGATGAAAACTTAGGTGAGTTCGCCTTAGTCCATTAACAACTTACAAAGTAAGGTACTACCATAACACAGCAACTTAACTTCCTCAAAGGCTCTTAAGCAACTCTCATTACTGGTTACGAGCTTACAAGCTCCAGTGAAAGTAATTTACCTACTTGGTAGAACTATTGTCGATATTTCCAGCCGATATAAGTGCCCTGGTAGTCCGTAACAAGGCATACCAGCCACAAGCCATTCATAAAAGTGAAAGCATTCCGACAACTACTTCCACATGGAGCCGCCAACCTTTGGAAAATCTGATTGCAACGTGAGCCTTAACTACAATATTTATGACCAGATCTGCCCGATCGCTATTCCCCTTGTTACGACCCGACCTATACTGCAGGAATAGCCAGTCCTACTACTTATGCAATACTTTAAGCAGGTGGAAGCAGCCAGCATCACAAAGGGAACTGCCCCAGTTGCCGACCACATTGTCCAACGTCTCTAGTGATACGTCAGGTATAAAGAGACTGGTACATTTTACGGATATTTAGACTCTAGTGACCATGTCTGAGGAAATGATCCTGTGCTGCCAGGTTTCACATTCACAGGAACTATACTCAACGCCACAAAAGTCCTTATGCAGCGCTTGCTACATCGCTTTCAAGTTGCGCAATGTGATGCTGACGGCTGAGGGGAACCAGCATACGTGAATCACTGGGGTGGTATCTTATGAAGATCACCCGTTCCATCTCCAGGACATGAGTGTCTCATGTACTAGTAAATACCAGGCTGCCGATGGGGCATTGGTCTACTCATAATCGTAGGAGTAGTACTCCTGCATCTACGGATACTACTTCTATCATTATTATCCCTGTTCCAATACCGAGATAATGCGGAAACTCGTATATTGAAACTACTTACTCCAGTTTGTTAGGAGATTAGGCGCAAACGATATAGAGTCGTATTGTCTGGTGTGCCTACATTCCTGCTTAGACTCTTAAACTAGTAGAATTGCTTGAATTACTGAAATAGTCAAATAGCACAGAGAAGGCCTAAATAGAATGACCATAGACTTCTTTTCTGTGATCTTCTTTCTGCTCCAAAGATAAACCCATTCTACCGATTCGCGGATTCTATTTTATCAGTTACATCAATCAATAGTTAACCTCATATTAGATTCATTTATTTGTCCTCTATTAATCGATCAAAACAATTACTCCCCTCGGTATTGTATTCTTATATAATGCTCCTTACCCCAATATACAGGGACTCAAATGAATCAGAATCAAGAGTACACTTGTATAGTCTTGAAGTGCGTGTCTGTATTGCACATTGGATATTGCTCGTGCTTTCCATCTGTGGAGCCCGTAATGCCACATCCCGGAGCCCCGCCACCACCGCCTTTACAAATTTTTGCCTTATCGATAAATATGCCTTTTTTTTTTTTTTTTTGGCGGGGTTTTATTAAGCGGCATCGCTGGTTCCCATCTCCAGGATCATTCCACTCATATCTACTAGCCACATCCATTACCTTACAAGGTTCGACGTCGAGTGGTGTGTTGAGCGCCGTAGCATGTCACTCTGAACATATCGTGTCAACCCAAGAACTCATATCTGAATCGAATCGTCCTCGCACAGCTGAGGGGCTCATAACGCAGTATTTCAAGCCGCCGGAATCGAGGGTTTCTTTAGTTGGTCTAGAAGAGAAGGACACTTCTTTGCTATTCTGAACTTGGCATCCATTTCTTAGTGACTGAGACTCTTAAATATGGCAGAGGCTTCGATTGCGTACCCCGCGTCATTAGACACGCTATTTGATGAAGCGTCCTCGTTGAAGCAACTATATGAGCCTATCCAATTAGCAGATGCTGAGATAGTTCCAATCTTACAATTACCTCTGGCAAAGACTGTCTTTGGCCACGACTCGGCAGATGAGAGTTCTCTCGCTCGTGTATCTAGCGGAGAAATCTCGTATACAACCTTTTTGGCAAACAAGACAAAGTCTATATTTCACACGCAACCAGATGATTCTACTCCTGAACAGCGAAGTTCGCAGCTGCTTCACATTGGTCTAGCAGCACTCTTCAGTTTTCTTCAGTCCAATGTTACTGGACCTCCGCTTAGCTTCAACCCTGCAGAGCTAATTATCCCGTCCACTCTGCGAACTGATCCGACATGTCTGAGAGCCATCCGATCGCATATAATTCGTGATCTCTCAGTAGATGGCGAAGCTGCTTATAGATTGACTCCGAATGTGGAGCTTTTCGCTGTTGCGAAGGCTATATTGGCCGACACGGATTTTCTACTTACGAATGGCCCGTTGGTTGCTAGGACGGCAAGAATGCGTGTCAATTTCCTTCACCAGAAGATGCTAGCAGAAATCACCGGTACGCTTCAAGATGCGATCTACTCCGACATGGAGCAAATTAGCAGCGTTCTGTTGACTGGAAATACTGCTGGCTCGGAGAAAGGGAAATTCCTACTCGAGAGAGCACTTATACACACTCACCACGGTTTTGATTCCAAAGCCAGAGCCGATATCGATAAGGCCGCATTAGAACGGAACTTCAAATTTGCTTTAACCGGAAAGTTGGGCAAAAGAACCAAGTTCCAAGAACGCGATATCAGTCAACTCGTTATCATTGCGAAGAGTGCCGACGATGCAACGGATACGAACAACAGCCCAGGTGATTTGGAGCCCTCGGGGCCGAAGAACTTAGACCTCAACGATGATACCCTTCTGGAATCTATATCCTTTACGAAGGATGAGAAACAACAGTCCCAGGATAATCAAGTTACCATACAAGATGAGTCGACGCTGCCACCAGCATTGGCATCTCTTGATCCCGGCAATCAGCCGAAGCTCAGCCCTGTGGACTCCGCTATTCTCCTAGCTCTTGCGGCCGCGATAACTAACACTACACCCGAGGATGGTCTAACTCGAGAGGAGACACACCCCTACGCCACCCGAGTCCTTGAGGGCGGTAGCTCAAATTGGCAGATCTATACACAGGGTCTTCTAGCTCGGAGCAGAATTGAGGGCTATAGGGCTCGAACTGTGGAAAGATCGGTTTTACAAATGCAAGCTCTTGTGGATCAAGTCATTGCTGACACCGCTACCCTCGATAGTCAGGCTACTTCTACTGTCGAAGAACCTACTACATTCCTTCCAAGACCCGAGAAATCCGAATCCGCATCAGCTGCAGAGAGACTCGAATACATATGGCTTCTGAGCTTCTCCACCAGGTGGGATCTCGAGGCGGAGCTGGCATCTCGTTGGGTCAATCTCGGAGGACTGCGCACTGCTCTTGACATTTATGAGCGTTTACAGATGTGGGCGGAGGCTGCGCTTTGCTATGCCGCTACAGACAGAGAGGAGAAGGCTAAGTCCATGGTTCGCAGACAACTCTACGAACCTACGAACAGAGGGCTTGTAGACGAAGACGAGAAGTTTGAGGGGCCCGAGCTCTCGCCTCTCCCTGCTGATGCCCCAAGACTTTTCTGTATTCTAGGAGATATTGACTCAGACCCAACCATGTACGAGCGCGCATGGGCGGTCTCGAATAACAGATATGCCCGTGCTCAGAGGTCTCTGGCTCGGCATTATCTCACGGTGAAACCGCCTGCATTGGAGAAGGCAGAGGAGGCTTACCGCAAGAGCTTGGAAATCAACCGTCTTAACCACGGCGCTTGGTTCTCACTAGGCTGCGTGCAGCTTGAACTTCAGCGTTGGGATGATGCGAAGGCCTCATTTACTCGGGCTGTGCAATTGGAAAACAACGATGCTGAATCATGGAGCAACCTTGCTGCAGCTATACTACAAACACCTCAGCCAGATGAACCTACGCCCGCTGCTGTGGAGCAGCTGCCAGACGAAGAGGACGAACCGGAAACAGGAAAAACGCCGGAAGATCCTTACAAACATAAGCGCGAGGCCCTTGCAGCCCTCAGTCGTGCGGCTCAGCTCAAAAATACAAACTCCCGTATCTGGGAAAACGTGCTTACGGTGGCAGCTTCAATCCCTCCTCCGTTTACCCCGTTCCGTGATGTTATTACCGCACAGAAGAAACTCATTGAGATTCTCGGCGACAAGAAAGGCGAAAAATGCATCGATCTTCCGATCTTGGGCATGCTTGTGGACTACCTTACAACTGTTTACAAGTACGAAGAGCTTGTAATTGAAGTTGACAATGGCACTGAGTCTCAGAAAGTCATTCGCATTGGTACAATCGCTGGCCAGATTATATCTCTGCTGGACAACTTGGTTGTGCCACACATCACCCACTCCGCCTCACTTTGGCTTCTTGTTGCCCGCGTTGAGCAATGGCGTGGGTGTCCGACGAAAGCCTTAGAAGCCCATGAGAAGGCTTGGCGTGCTACCGTGGCCTCATCAACACAGGGGGCATTCCAGATGGGTGATGAAAAGAAGTGGATGGAAATTGTAAGTGCCACCGAGAAATTGGTCCGTAATGGGTATTCTAAATACGGGCCTATGGACAAAGAAGGCCAGGAAGATGCAGATGAAGCTGAGCTCGTTGCCAAAGATTGGAGGTTTAAGGCTCGAAGTGCAGTGAGGGGTATTCTGGGCAAAGGCAAGGAGTTCTGGGAAGATAGTGAAGGATGGGCGCAACTGAAGGAGCTGCAGAGTGAGGTTGGAAGCACATAAGCATGCCTCCTATGTTATTATGTTTTCAATTGCATCATAGATCGGTACAAAAAATTCCATCCTAGAGACTACATACATTGCATCTTTCCCTTCAATATCCTAGTTCGGTCTCCAAGTGCCTCCTACGAAACACAGTATGACAACCACTTCCGGAGCAAAATGGAGCCATACTAAACCCAATTCTCGTAGGTTATAGGTGGCCAATTCTTAAGAAACATGCTGACTCCTTGTCAATAAGCAAAGGTCTGTAACGACTATCCGCTGAAAAGCTGCTGGATATCGAGGTTGACCACGGAGCCTCGGGACATGTACATAAATGCTTGCGCTATTATAAAAGGCACACGAGCTCCTTTCCACGGAGATAATCTTGGGTGAGGGATCATTCTCAGGCTTGGAGACTTCAGCCAATCTCAGTCTCACTGCCTGAACACGTCGGCTAGAGTGTATGCAAAGGTGGTGGTCAGTCTAACCGGACTTCATCGAATTTGGGGATCTTGCCGGACTCGTAATGGGCTAGGAGCTTGTCCATATCCTGGTCATTCATCTGGACAAGTTCACCCAGGCTCCAGGATTCACAAACTCCAGACATCCTAGGCAAAACGTCAGTAGAGGATTGTAAGGTATATTGAGCAACTCACCATTTCATCCTTTTAGGACCTTCCTCTGCGGTGGGAGCTACCCCCCTTAACTTTTTCCGCAATGTGCCCACGTTCTCTATTGCTGCGCCCATGTTGTCGGGGAGTGTTCCGGCGATTTGCTTTCGTACCATACTTGCAAGCTTAGGGCCATTTCCATTCGTGCTGACCATCACCTGTAGCGGACCATCCCGATGTACACTCCCGAAGTAGAAATCACATTCGGAAGGTACATCGGCGATGTTTGCGGGAATTCTCTTCTCTTTACACAGCTTCCATACACGGGTCGAGGCGTCTGGGTCGTCAATAGCACAGAGAACCATGTCTGCTCCTTCAAGGTCTGTTGGCTCGAAGTTCCGATCGATGTGAGATACTTGACCCTCGGAGACCCGAAATGCTACTTCATCATTGAGGCCAGAGGCAGGGCAGACAACTGTTACTTCGGCATCGGCGTTTAGGGCATGGAGTATGCGACCGGCGGCTACCTACGTTCAGCATGTAATCGGTCAAAAAGTATTCCAAAAATATATATAGCAGTAATTGCTAGCTAAAGGAGCTTACCTCACCACCTCCCACAACCAAGACATGTTTGCTTTTTACCTGCCAGGCAACAATAAGAGAGCCTCCTCCCTGGACTTCAGGAAATTTACGTGACATATTTGAGTTGGTGGAATTGGGCTTCGAGTATCAGGAAAGCGGGGTTTATCGAAGTGATGTTGGTGGGGACTTCGGTACGTGGTGCAACAAAACCCCGTGACGAAAAGCTCTAGCTACTTTTCTCTCTCCAAAAATTTTTTTTTCCTTTTCTTTCCCCTCGGTTGCTCATCGTGGGTTCCCCATCCTACCACCACCTTGACCCTTCCCCCAGTCGCTTTTCCATGTCTTATTCCAGCACATAATTGCATCACAATGCGGGGAGTACAGATTTTCTCTGGGACATCGCATCCCACACTTGCTAAGGTGGTCTGCGACCGGTTAGGGACTCAACCCGCCCGGGCAGACTTAGGTAAATTCGCCAATGGGGAGACAAGTGTGAACATTGGTGTCTCAGTACGGAACCAAGATGTCTATATTGTCCAGAGTGGCAGTGAGAAGATCAATGACAGTGTCATGGAACTCTTGATCATGATCTCTGCCTGCAAAGGAGGTTCTGCGAAGTCCATCACAGGTATGCTTTAACAAAACCTAGTCTTTGCTTAATTTTAGCTTGCTAACCTGCAACTTATTCTAGCGGTCATACCGTATGCTGCCTGCCTAGTTTGACTATCGCACAATTGATGCTGACCTAGCCGAGGTATTTCCCATACTCTCGCCAATCTAAAAAGAAGAGCCACCGTGGTGCGATCACCGCCCGCATGCTGGCAAATCTCCTCTCAGTTGCTGGAGTAGACCATGTGATAACATTGGACTTGCATGTGAGTCACAAAGCAGTTGGTGACAGTGTGGTGTCTTTTCCTGGACATATTTCTCATCAGGAAATATATAGGCATCCCAGATGCAGGGCTTCTTCGGCAAACCCGTGGACAACCTGTTTGCCGAACCCTATATCGCTCGTTGGATCCGCATGAATGTTCCTGGCTGGAAGGAGGCAGTCGTTGTCAGCAAGAATGCCGGGGGTACTAAGCGTGTTACTTCATTGGCGGACACCCTGAAGCTCAACTTCGGCATTGTCACTACCGATAGGCGGCGTCCCAAGATGAGTATGGCAATGACAGACAGCACGGTCTTCTTTGACTCTATAGATGAAGACTGCACGCCCGTCCAAAAAGAGGACGATCCGTTTGTGCTCCACGTACAGACTGGAAATCATGGCGATTCGCAAACCGAAGAGGTGCATAGGCTATCTGATAACATGGAATCATTGTTATCGGCAAATGCCTTGCTTCCGGACATTCTGACGGGTGCTCGACGCCCGTCAGAGTTAGAAGCTGCACACGGGTGTACAGATGTCCGAGTACACGACGTTATCACTGGGCGACTCGTAGAGGGTCACCTCGTCGATGATGATTATCCCCCAGTCGATTCTACACCTGCATCGGGAGACACTACCCCCGGGCATACTGTAGCAGAGAATGATTCTGTTCCTGATCAAATGATGGAATCGTTTGTCTCCAACACATCTTCTTTACCCGGTGACCATGCTCTTGGCGGCTCGTTTGATGCTGCCGAATCTTCTGATGAAGAAGGTAGTGTTGGGCGAGCTGTCGAGCGGGAGAAGACCATTACTTTCGTGGGCGACGTCCGTGACAGGACTGTGTTCATCGTCGATGACATGATTGACAAAAGCGGATCATGGATTGCTGCTGCAGAAACTGTTGTGAAGAAGGGTGGCGCTAGGAAGGTCTACTGCATCGCAACCCACGGACTCTTCGGGGACAAATCCCTTGAGCAAATGGAAGAATGCAACGCGATTGACTACATCGTAGTGACCAACACTTTCCCTATCTCGGAACAGATGGTTAAGAAGTCGAAGAAGTTGGTCGTCATCGATATATCGACTCTCATCTCAGAGAGCATTAGACGCCATCATTATGGTGAAAGGTAAGTTGACTCTTGAATCCACGGCTGTACTGGGAAATCCTAACGCTTGCTGAAGTGTTTCGGCACTTTTCCATCTGAACGACTAACGTGTATTCTTCAACTGCGCCTTTTTCTGAACCTATGCTTTTGGCGGGGGTAAAATCTCGCCACTGTACCCACTACGGTAAAACAAGAACATGACGCATTGATTGATGATGACTTCAAGCGAGTAACGACTTGAAAAATGATGAATTTCTTATCCTCTATACCAGATGGCGGTTACTTGCTTTCACTTGGCAGTCTTCTGCTTTATCCCGTACAATCATGGCCGTACATCTCCCATGATACCTTAGGTGGTTTCTTTCTAACGAGTTTCAAAACCTTTGCCCTATCCGGGCGTCGATTCAACATACTTATCTCAGCGTCGCACAAACGAGCATTCCAGATCTCACTTCAAATAGGAAGATCAGCCTCCTATAGCCACATATGACGTGGCTTTATCTTTGTCTTGTTACTTAATCGTGCCTTGATCTCACTGGCAAGCCAATAGTCGGCAAACCATACTTTTCACTATACCAGCGATGCAGTCCACTTTGGGTACTGCAGGAACATCTTGCAAACTCACAAGATTGTTCTTAACGGAGCGTTGGGAGAGCAAAATCGGTCCTGTCTCGCAATCTGCTTCTTGTGTCAATCGGCACGGAGGTAGTTAGCTGCAGGACTATCGAGGAATGAAGGCACCAGTTTCTGAAATTTTCGTATTTCATGGCTTCGGCCAGTGGAACCGGTGCAAGAGAACATCTCGAACATTTCTGTATTTGCATTTTTCGTAGTTTCAAATCTACATCGGAAATATATCTATTTTGTGCCAACCTGCCAAGTCCTTTCTTCCCTCTCTTTGGCTGCACAGTCTGTGTGTCTCCCGCCTTTGCGTACTTGAGTAAATTTTCGCGTCACTTTTTGTACTCCGCGGCTCTGGAATCCTTGGTTTAGCATTGGCACAAGTAATAGCCAAACTAGTTTTCGTTGCTTGGAGTCAAGTAGACAGTGGATTGGTTAGGTAGTCTGACTCCATTGGACTGTGCCGTTCTAGACTTTGGGCAGAGAACTGTTTATGTGACGTCGCACGGTAGACCTCAGCTCGATTGCTGTAGCGGTATATTCCGTACACTTAGCGGTTGAACGCAATCTGAATTTACGAGAAGCCGACTGATTCAATACAAGGTTGATCGGTATGCCTGCAAGCGATGTCATATACTGATCTTTGCTAGATGTAGATTCATAAGAGAATGTCTGACACGTCCAGTCATTCACTTGCTACAGCCATGTGGACACGAAATGTGTCCTCGAAGTAATGGAGTCCGTTTGAAACAGCGTCCCAACAAGACTCTATCTAAGAAGCACAGGAGCACCGAATGGTTGTTTCTAGGGCATCGGTGACCACAAACAAGATCATGAGAATTTATAAAGGCACGACACTATTATTTCGGGTATTACGACATGCTATCCTTAGTGTGAAAAGGGAGATTAGAGAAAAGAGACCTGTCCAGCACAAAAGTACCAGCGGGACGCGTGGGTCATTGTTCGAAAAGGAACCAACTCCGCGGGAGACGGAGGGAGACACTAACAAACCAACGTAACCTACCGAGACACAAGAATACGGCGGGGAAGAGGATCCGGTAGATCAGCGCAGAAGTCGACCAAAGGTTCGCCTTTCAAATTCCAACTAGGATGTCACTGTTACTCAATTGGGCAACGGGATCGGAAAGGATTACGACTAGCTCGCTTCCTCTATGAAGGTTCTAAGCGGGCATGAGTGAGGATAACCACTGTCGTTTCAGAAAAGGACCATCCTCGTGAGAATCCAAACAGCGTCTACGTACAACCCCAATGTGTCTCAATACGGCGACCGGCGTTAGGTACCTCGTTAGTCTCTACGACGGTTCGGCCTGAAGTGGGATTGATGGGATCTAGCGTCGTCCATGAGATGTCATCAATGGCCCTAGCGCTTTGGTGTGGAACACTGTCAGGTCCAAGAGGCTGGGTATCTGGGGCTTGGGACGCTGTGCGCACCGCGTGCGCATTTCTCTTGTCGGTTCGAGACCCGATTTTTCTTTTAGTCTTTTTTGTCCTGCCAAAGTCAGGTCGCGAGAACTGATGATTTGCTGACAATTTCGATCTACTCTTTTTAGTGGTACGACTACCAGCACCCCGGGCTAGATTTAGGGCCGAATTAGCTTGCAGGACGCAGCTAGTGGATGTCTTACAACTTCGGCTGCGCGCTGAGGAATCCCCTGTTTCCCGATTCTTGGAATTGGTCGACAGGTCAGTCTGCCGGATGTTAATTGACTGCCGGCTTTTTGGCTGGAGACATTTTACGACATGTTTGATGCCAATTGTTACCACCGCCCAACGAACGAGGTAAAGTGTCCGCCTCCACTACCCCTTTCTCGGGTCTCCGGGTGCACATCCTATGCGCTGGTGGCTTGTCCACACTAAGCTGGTAGTTAACTTCTATTCCCACTGGAAAGCCACCGACTCACGAACCTGGTTGGCGGGTCAGTGGATCCACTGCAATTGTCCGTCGTGATCAGCTAACTAAGATCGGCGCAAGAACCAGAGAGAGAGGTAAGGAAAAAAGAAAAAGAAAGAAAAAATAAAAAAAAAAAAATTCAAATTCGACAGAAAATGAATACGAGAGAAGAACTGGCGCCAGATTATGCAATAATCCAAAGTGAGATAACCTTTCTTGTCGTAAGCCATATCGACTATACTTCATAATGACTGACTAGTTCTGCTAGTCGTAGTCTTCTATAGGTGTGATTCACATACAAACATACATCGATATGCACTACATACATCCATACCTGCATGGGAATCTCACCTGAGGATGCATATCACGTGTCCGGAATGGGATGTATACTCCGGACGTCTCTGATTGCTTCCCCCCCAGAACACCTAAAAGGTTTCCCTGCATGGTCAGCATCTCACCGATTCATGGTGGATCACTTAAACTTCAGCCTAGGATGCTAAAAGACCGGGGGCCTCGGTAAAGGGGTGCCGGTGCAACTCGGTGATACGGTGGCTTTAACATGAACAAGGGAGACCCTTCTTCTACAAGCTTCCTGATGGGACAATGTGACACTGGGGTCGAGCCCAAACAAGTCAGATACGACCAACCATGATGTGGGATTGGGAATTGAGATTTCGGATACGAATGGCGAGAAAATTTAGAATTGACTTCTAAGTTCTTATCCGTCAAAAATCACTTGCCGAAAAAGATATCTCAGTTTTTAAAAAAGGAAAAAAGAACATAATAAATAAATTAAAACACATCAAGCCATGGAACTCGAGACATGAGAGGGACAGGGAGCAAGTGTGAGAGAGAAAATGAAGAAAGCTATTTGTCACATAAGTTTCGAGTTTGTTAGGTTACTCTGGCAATAATAATAATAATAATAATAATAATAATAATAAAAAGAATATACTACTAACACATGACTAATTATTGAAATAGAGAGAGGGGAAGTGGCTGGTGTATGGAGTTAAAAAAAAAAAAAAGAAAAGAAAAGAAAAATAATAAAATAAAATAAAATAAAAATGGAGGTAATATTTGCTATAAATACATTAAATTCAAGCTATCAAAAAGAAATTATACTCCGCCAGTATGGATCTTGGGAAAGATCTGCACGCCAAAAGTTCCCAATGCACTGGCACTGGGAAATCCTTCTTACTCCTCCAATCACCAGTGTCCGATGCTTTACTTTTAGGTCCAGATCCGTAGCCCTGGATATAACTGCGTAGAGTACCGATAGTCCTCTCGCCCTTGTCCGATCCCGGCTATCTCCATCGAATGATGATCTTCGAGATCTGCGACATCGTGAGCCCCAGACCTATCCTGAATATGGTAAGAGTAGCTCCAGGGTTCCCGGACTATCGCATAACTTTCCAGCTCCCCGGGCGCCCTCTAATACCCACTTTCTCTGGCCCACTGGCGATATATCACTTTACTGTCGACTGTTAAGTTCATGATGATTGGTCTCCTTCCCATTATTGTCTTCCATTGTTGGGTTCTCGCCAGCTTTCCCCATCAGTGGCTCTCTTTTTTTTCTTTTTCTTTTTCTTTTTCTTTTTCTTTTCTTTTTTTTTTTTTCCCTCTCTCCTACACTCGATCATCAGCTCACACACAGTTACTCTTTTCTCTTCAGTGTTCTACTTCCTTTTTCTTCTCTTTCCTTCCTACACATCTCCTCTATCACACTCAGGTTGCTCCACCCCACTAATGCTCCTTAGACAATAACCGGGTACTTGCATCACAATTCCAGAGTCATTCCATGCAGCTGGAGTTGCCCGGTCTGGACTTCAGGTCTTACCGTTTTCTGTACAGAAAGGTCATTCCGCAAGAAATGTGTTCAATGCGTCTTAGCAGACGATAACTCATCCCCAGTCCTAATTGAAAGCTCTCGCCTATATATATACTATGGAGCTTCTGCCAATTCGTCTCTACAACAGCATCTCCTTATTCCTCTCCAATCTACCTGCACCTCTGATCTTGCAACTTCTTAACTATCAAGTGAATACGACCTCCCTTATTCTTCTTCTTCATTCCTCGCAACAGACTCCCTAGGACTTGTTTTCAATTCCATCTTCGCTTGTTTCTAGAACCAAGTTCCAACGATTGTTCTTCGTGTGAACCAAGGTTCAGTGACCGAACCCAAAAAAACCTTCCCTTGACCCCGACTCGAACCTTACGTGACCTGCTACGGTAAGTTGACGTGGACCAAGCCTTTTTCTTAAAACATGTTGAACTAACATGTTCGGACAGCATCACCATGGCCAACCAATGCCCGGGACATGTTTTCGCTATTGTGCAGGCCACCAATGGGAACATCCTCACCTGGCGTTGTTCTGACTGCACATCGGGGCCATTTGTGGCCATCTGGCGCTGCAAGATCTGTAATCACTGCCGCTGTAACTCATGCCACACCGCAAAGGCATGAGTAGCGGTTACACTGTTCGCCATCGGGTCTGGTATACTTCGGTAAGTAGTACTACAAAGCGAGGGAGCGAATCCTGCTTTCCTTGTGTAACGAGAGGTTGAGGATCGACAGCTGACCCCTTCTTAGATTCAGATCCTTAAAGAAACGTTCTCGTTGCAGCAAAATCCCTGCGTGACAGCTGCAGGCGGCAACTCCCCTCCCATTCGCCTCACGAATTAACTTTTGTTCTCCCTTTTATGTCCTTAATTTTCTTCCTTCTTTCCCTCTCGCTGTCTCAGAAGCCTGCATTCCCACATTCTTGGTTTCGATCCAGAGCACGAATTAACCTCGACGGATCCTTCTCCCGGGTGAAAGGCAACCAATCAGCGTGGTTCCTGGAGTCAGATTGAATGTCTGATCGTCGATCCGCCAAGAAAAAAAGGGTGACCGATCAAGG